CAAACGGAATCATTTAAAACAACAAAAACTTAGCTTCTCCCAGTTTTGGTGGCGAGATGTCTGAAATCAAGGTGTCGGTGGGACCTCGGTCCCCCTGAAGGCTCTAGGGTAGAACCTCTCTTGTTTATTCCAGCTTCTGGTGTCTCCAGGCACTTCTTGGCTTGTGGTTGCATAACTCCAGTCTACATCTCTGTCTTCTCATGGACATTTCCCCCATGTCTCTGAGTCTTCTCCTCTTCCTCTTTTATAAAGACACTTGTCTTTGGACTTAGGGGCCACCTAGGTAATCCAGGGTAGTCTCATCTTGAGATCTTTAACTTAATTACAATTGCAGTGATGCTTTTTCGAAATGAAGTCACAGTCACAGGCTAGGATTTGTATGTATCATTTGGGGGCTACTATTCAATCTGCTGCATATGTATTCTCCCTATTGGTAGGACTCTCAGAAGACAGTTCCCACTGTCAGCTCTGTTTGGGGATTGTCTCTTTGAGGAACTTCCTTGTCCAAGGCATCCTTCTATGGATAGCCCACATCCAAAGCTGATCAGAGTGGGTATAAAGCTTAGGCCTTCTTGACCCAATTTGGAATGACTCTGGAAGACCACGCCAGTTCCAGAGCCCTACTGTGGTTGGTGGAGGCCTTCATTCAGACTGCATCAGAGCTCATTTCTCTGCCTGGTCATTCTCGTTCTCTTCCCTGCCTTCTTCTCTGTCTCTTGATTCTGCTTAACAGGAAACCCAGCCTGAAACACTTTTTTAAAAACATTGAACTATAGGGACTTCCCTGGTGGTCCTATGGCTAAGACTCTGTGCTCCCAATGCAGGGGCCCTGGACTCAATCCCTGGTCAGATCCTACTGACCTAGATCCTACTTGCCCCAACTAAGGGTTCATATGCCACAACTAAGACTCAGTACAGCCAAATAAATAAATATAAAAAAATTGAACTATCGCTGTGTTAGTTTCTGGTGTACAAGCAAAGTAATTCAGTTGTACACACATATCTTTTGTTTTTCAGATTCTTTTCCATTATCAGTTCAGTTCAGTTCAATTCAGTCGCTCAGTCATGTCTGACTCTTTGAGACCCCGTGAATCGCAGCACGCCAGGCCTCCCTGTCCATCACCAACTCCCAGAGTTTACTCAAACACATGTCCATCGAGTCGGTGATGCCATCCAGCCATCTCATCCTCTGTCGTCCTCTTCTCCTCCTGCCCCCAATCCCTCCCAGCATCAGGGTCTTTTCCAATGAGTCAACTCTTCGCATGAGGTGGCCAAAGTACTGGAGTTTCAGCTTCAGCATCAGTCCCTCCAATGAACACCCAGGACTGATCTCCTTTAGGATGGACTGGCTGGATCTCCTTGCAGTCCAAGGGACTCTCAAGAGTCTTCTCCAACACCACAGTTCAAAGCATCAATTCTTCGGTGCTCAGCTTTCTTCACAGTCCAACTCTCACATCCATACATGACCACTGGAAAAACCATAACCTTGACTAGAGAGACCTTTGTTGACAAAGTAATGTCTCTGCTTTTTAATATGCTATCTAGGTTGGTCATAACTTTCCTTCCAAGGAGTAAGAATCTTTTAATTTCATGGCTGCAATCACCATCTGCAGTGATTTTGGAGCCCAGAAAAATAAAATCAGCCACTGTTTCCACTGTTTCCCCATCTATTTGCCATGAAGTGATGGGACCAGATGCCATGATCTTAGTTTTCTGAATGTTGAGCTTTAAGCCAACTTTTTCACTCTCCTCTTTCACTTTCATCAAGAGGCTCTTTAGTTCCTCTTCACTTTCTGCCATAAGGGTGGTGTCATCTGCACATCTGAGGTTATTGATATTTCTCCCGGCAATCTTGATTCCAGCTTGTGCTTCTTCCAGCCCAGTTTCTCATGATGTACTCTGCATATAAGTTAAATAAGCAGGGTGACAATATACAGCCTTGACATAATCCTTTTCCTATTTGGAACCAGTCTGTTGTTCCATGTCCAATTCTAACTGTTGCTTCCTGACCTGCATATAGGTTTCTCAAGAGGTGGGTCAGGTGGTCTGGTATTCCCATCTCTTTCAGAATTTTCCACAGTTTACTGTGACCCACACAGTCAAAGGCTTTGGCATAGTCAATAAAGCAGAAATAGATGTTTTTCTGGAATTCTCTTGCTTTTTCTATGATCCAGCCCATTATAGGTTATTATAAAATATTGAATATCATTGCATGTGCTATAAGTAGGTTCCTATTGTTTATCTATTAATAAATAGATTAGGTTGTATCTATTAATCCCAAGCTCCTACTTTAACCCTTTGCCACCCCTTTCCCCTTTGGTAACCATAAGTTGGTTTTCTATGTCCATGAGTCTATTTATATTTTATAAATAAGCTCATTTGTACTATATTTTAGATTCCACATATAAGTGATATCATATGATATTTATCTTTCTCTGTCTTACTTCACTCAGTATGATAGTCTCCAGATCTATCTATTTCCTTCAAATGATGTTATTTTGCTCTTTTTATGGCTGAGTAATATTCCATTGTATATATGTATCACATCTTTATCATTCTGAAACATTTGATAAAATTTATTCATTCATTCAATCACTCGAGTTATTTAATTATATCAATAAATATTTATCAATCACCTACTATGTGCTAAGTGCTTTCTTTCATAACAATGGCACAATGAATATACTTAAATCTTTCTTTGCTAAATCATGATTTCTCTGCGACAATCCTAGGGCCTAATTTGTTAGTCGTAGATACTAAAGACTTAGGAGAAGACCTCACAATTTATCTTGGAAGTTCTCTTCTGTTTTGTATAAACCCCCACCTGATGTAAGATTCTTTTGCTGTGATTTTGTTTCCCTCTAACAAAGGAGCCCACAAAACTCATTAACTGAATGTCCTGCTGTATCAGGGTTTGCCTTGATTCTGGCCTTAGTGTTGTTTTAGGCCCATCTTTTAACTTTATTAAGTCTCAATATGGAGATGAGGAAATAGAGACAGATTCATAGCATTAGAAGCATCACAGGATTACAGAAGTTTAAAGCACTGTCAGAATCAAGAAGTTTTGTGGGCACTCCGACCTTCTTTCACTACAGATAGGAAAACAGAGTTTAACCCAGAATTGCCTGAACCATGCAGTGTCTGTGACTGTTATCTGATTGTTCTGTGTAGGAGGAACTGCCTTGCCTTCTTGCTGGTAAACTCCTTTGGGGAAGAATCTGAATCTCATACTTTTCCATCCTGCTCAGTGTCTAGAAAAATAAGAGATGGGTTTTGAATAAAAAATTGACTGATCAAGTCCTCTCTATCCAGCAAAACTGCTCAGTCATATGGGTAGTTATTTATAATTAATTTTTATATGCCAAGACCTCTAGAGGAAATCCAGCAATCTCATCGATCCTAGGCTTAACAGTGTTCACTGTAAAGGAGTTTCTCTTAAAAATATAACCTGGTCTTGCAGAATAACCCAAAATGTCATAAATATGCACATAATTTGTACTAGCACAGTTCCTTCACAAGAAGTACACGGACAATAAAGCAAGGTTTTATTAGCAAGGTTTTGTTTTATTTATAATAAAGCAAGGTTACCAATAAAATCAGCACTATTTTAAAATTTAAATGTATAAATATTTACTTAATTATATTTAATCATTATTATTTTTACTTCACCTCATTCTAAAAAGGTCACTTAGAAGTAAACCCATATTTCAATATATTGGAAAATAAGAATAGGAAAAAACTGAGGTAGAAAATAAGATAAAATTCAAGGTAATGTTACTATCCAAAATCCATGACATTGCTAGTGGTAAACCTAACAGGTGGTTCTGAGCATTACAATTAATTGATAACAGTTGGAGTATAGTGGTCCAAGTTCCCAAGTCATCAGAATCTGTTTCTCTTTAGATGATTAATCTAAGCCAGTCACAGTAACCCCATTCCTCTTGTCAGTAATTAAGAATGTATATGGTCTATTTCTGGAAAAACAGATGTGGGAGAAAGTCTTCTGAGGATTGGGGGCTTTCCGGGAAAGGTCTTCTCCTTATTCTTAAAAGAGAGGCAAGAAATGCACAGTTCCTTTCTTCCACTGGATGTTGTTTAGCCAGGATATGATTCCTGGAACTGATAAGCCCTCTTGGTCTCAGCCTGAGAATGAAGCTAAAACATAGAGGGGATGGGGTGGTGTAGGAGTGGGGGCAGAATCAAGGGGGTCTCTGTGAAGAGGAACCTGGGCCCCGACACGCTGCCCTGATGCCACATTCCCTCTGGACCTCTGGTTATGTTAGTTATAATACTTTCCTTTAGGCATACTGAGCTGGGATTTCCCTGTTCCTTGCAGCCAAAATCATCCTAAACGGTTGGAAAGTAGCAGTTAAGGGTTAGACTTTGAAATCAGGCAACTTGATACTTGTAAACTTGAAAAAGAATTTTTAAAAAATTTTAGGCTCTATTTTGCCAGTAGCCATTTAAAAATTATTTATTTATTTATTTATTTTTGGCTGTGCTGGGTCTTCGTTGCTTTGCTCAGGCTTTCTCTAGTTGCAGTTGAGGGGGATGGCTGCTGTTTGTTGCGGTGAATGGACTTCTTATTGCAGTGGCTTCTCTTGTTGTGGAGCCCAGGCTCTAGACGGGTGGGCTTCAGCAGTTGCAGCACAAAGGCTCACTAGTTGCGGCTCGTGGGCTCTAGAGCACGGTCTCATGGTTGTGGCACATGGGCTTAGTTGCTCTGTGGCATGTGAAATCTTCCTGGACCAGGGATTGAACCCGTGTCTCCTGCGTTGGCCGGCAGATTGTTATCCATTGTGCCACCAGGAAAGTTCAAGAATTAAGATCTTTATTTTATTTTATTTTTTTTTACATTTAAGAAAAAACATTTATTTTTAAATGCTGGGTAGGAGGGCACAAACGGAGTTCTAGTTTACAGTATAACTCTGAAGAGAACTTCAATTTGCTAGCAGAAATTTTCACTCTATTCTCAAGCTTCTAAACAGTTCCTGATGGGATTAGACGGCTGTTCCTCTTTCCAAATTCTGCTTAATTTCAGCTGTGTATTTCCCATAGAATCTTTCTGCCTTCTTGTTGAATTTAGCATTCCTTTCATTAATGTAGTCAATATCTGCATCATCATTATAAGGACGTCTCCGGCTGTATTTGTCTCGTTTTTCAATTTGTTTTTCCAGGTCTGTGACCATCCTGTCAATTTCCTCTGTGGAAGGCACATGTGTCCCATGAAGAAGACTGTTGGACGTTGGGAAAAACTCTTCTCCATGCTTTTCTCTCAGTCTCTCGTATGTTTCCATGTCTGGTTTGATCTGTTTGGTCAGTCTATGATACTGGCGAAGCTGGGCAGCAGCATAATCTGAAAATCCCAGGTCAGGGTTTTTCCTCCTCTTTTTTCTCTCCCATCTTTCTGCATCTTCTGCACTAATTTCTAGCAACTTCACTTTCTCATAGTCTTCCCCTCTTGCTGCACATTCCTTTTTCTTTTCTTCTTCCTGCAGTTCCCATTCCAAACGAGCTTTCTTGGCTTCCCAATTTGCAGGGAACTTAAGTCTTTCATCTTCTTCAACAACTTCCTGGTGATTTAATTTACGAGCTTCATTCCGCTTCAGGTGCAGCTCCCGGAATTTGCGCAGTCTCTGTTCGCGCTTCTGGGCGGCCAGCTCCTCGGCTCCTGCGGGAGGCTGGGGCTCCTCTGCTCCACCCACCGGAACCTTCTCGGCAACAGTCGCAGCCGCCATCTCAAGCTTTCCTTGCTCACTTCCGGAAACAACACCCAGCACTTCCAAGAATTAAAATCTTTAAACATCAGTTCTCTCACCTGTGTTTTGGGGTATGTAATACTTACTCTGCAGAGTTACTGTACAAATTTAGTGAAGGGAAAAAAAGCATTTGAAATGTTTAGCACAGAACCTGATGCAATCTAAGTGCTAAATAAGGAGTACATTATAGTAACACTAAGGAGAAACACACATAATCCATAGCTAAGTGACAGACTCTTCGAAAATCAAATTTTCTCAGGCTATAATTCAAGCTTTCAACCTGTCTTGAATGAGGGTGGAAGACAATTGATCACTTCTTACTTATGAAACAATCCATTACATTCTGGAAGGTCATTATTAAGGGTCTTGTTTTTTAATCTCAATTAAATATTTAAAACCACAACTCTGAACTATTTGTCTTATGTCTAATTAAATGGTGCTCTTACTAAAGGAACACAGTCACGTGCCAAGGGTAGGGCTCAAATGTCACCATCTACATGTCCAACACACAGACACCAGGATGGTATGTACTGTGTCGGCTCTCTGGGCTTCAGTCTCCTTCTCTCTGCAGATGGGCTCTTTTCAAATCTGGTGGGTGCTATCGATGCCAGCACCTTTTTGCATAAAGCTTCCTTCCCTCTTCCAACTTTGCAGAAACCAAATCATTTAGAGCCAGCCCCTGATAGATAATTTCAAATCATTTTTTTTTTTTTTCCAAGGCCCTGTATATGGTCAGACACTATACCATCTCCAGCCAGTCCAGTGATCTCCCAGCATTAAATCCTATTCATTCACCTGGAAGGTGATCTCAGGCTAATGCTATACCATCCAGCTGACTATCAGAACACCCAACATTGCAACAGTAGCAAGGGTTGGGAATGGTGGATTTGGGAAGAGGTGGAAGCTGAGAGGGAAACGCAGCTGCCTGACCTGAACAAGTCTTTCTTGTCCATAGACCTGCTTTTTCCAGGAAGCAGTGAAAAATGGCTAATATGTTTCTTGGGGACAAGGATTGTGTCTTCATTAGTGTCATTCATTGCCTGAAAGTGTTAAGAATAGTTATCTGTTGTTCTTATACATTTAAAAATAAGGCTTAAATGCCATTACCTTCTTTATTATTATTATTTTTATTAGAGTAGAGTTGATTTACAATGCTGTGTGTTGCTTTCTGCCATGCAGCACAATTAATCAGTTACACGTATACCCACTTTTTTTCATAGCCTCTTTTCCCATATAGGTCATTACATAGTATTGAGTTGAGTATTGAGTTGAGTATTTTTCTGTGCTATACAGTAGGTCCTTATTAGTTTTCTGTTTTGTATATAGTAATGTGTATATGTCATTCCCAATTTCCCAGTTTATCCCTCCCCGCCCCATAACCATAAGATTGTTTTCTACATCTGTAACTATTTGTGTTTTGTAGATAAGTTCATTTAAATCATTTTTTTAGAGTCTGCATTTAAACAATACCATTCACTATTTGTCCTTTTCCGTCTGACTGACTTCGCTCAGTATGACAGTCTCTAGGTCCATCTATGTTGCTGCAAATGACATTATTTTGTTCCTTTTTTGGCTGAGTAATATCCCATTGCATGTATGTACCACATCTTCTTTATCCATTCCTCTGTTGATGGACACTTAGCTTGATTCTATGTCCTGGCTATTGTAAATAGTGCTGTGATGAACACAGAGGTCCAAGTATCTTTTCAGATTATGATTTTCTCCAGTTATATCCCAGGAGCAGGACTACTGGAATATAGTAGCTCTGTTTTTAGTTTTTTAGGGAACCTCCATACTTTTCTCCATAGTAGGTGTACCAGTTTACATTCTCACTAACAGTATAGAAGCGTTCCCTTTTCTCTATACCCTCTCCAGCATTTATTGCTTGTAGATTATTTTGATGATGGCCATTTTGACCTGGGGCTTCCCTGATAGCTCAGTTGGTAAAGAAAAGAATCCGCCTTCAATGCAGGAGACCCCAGTTCAATTCCTGGGTCAGGAAGATCCACTGGAAAACAGATAGGCTATGCACTCCAGTATTCTTGGGCTTCCCTTGTGGCTCAGCAGGTAAAGAATCCTCCTGCAGTGCAGGAGACCTGGTTTGATCCCTGGCTGGGGAAGATCCCCTGGAGATCCCTGGAAAGCTAGCCACTCCAGTATTCCGGCCTAGAGAATTCCATGGACTGTATAGTCCATGTGGTCTCAAAGAGTCAGAAACAACTGAACGACTTTCACTTTCACTTTCACTTTCATTTTGACCTGTGTGAGGTGATGCCTCATTGTAGTTTTGATTTGCATTTCTCTAATAATTAGTGCTGTTGAGCATCATTTCATGTGCTTTTTGACCACCTATGTGTCTTCTCTAGAGAAATGTCTATTTAAATGTTCCATCTAATTTTCAATTGGGTTGTTTACTTTTTTGTTATTGAGCTGCATGAGCTGTTTGTATATTTAAGAGATTAATCCCTCATACACTTTTTAAAATAAAGGACATAACAAAGTAGTTTACTTTTTTGAAACTTCCTTTAAAAAAAATCCTGTTTGTTAAATACTGTTAATTTGAAAGTGGGGGTAGAAATATCAGCTCCTTCCAAGCCCCACGAGCACTGCCATGAAGTTAAAGGGCTGAACAGATGCCTGGGGACTGAGCCCTAACCCCTGTGGCCATGGCCCCTGTCCCTGTGGCCACACTGAGCAGGGAGCACATGGCCACCAGTCAAGCCACTCACTTTTGGATGAGGAGTTATCAGAAGTGCCAACCACGATGAACCGAAGAGCAGAGGCTCTTCTCCAATGTCCTGGAATTTCTTTTCCAATCTCAAGAGAAGAGAGGGGATTGGAAAATTGCTGAGATTGGATCCCCTCAATTTTAAGAGAATAATGGCAAAGCCAGATTGAATCCTAGCTAGAATAATATATAACACTTATGGCACTGTGGAGCAATCCATTCCTTTATATTTTTAATTTTTAAAATTATGCAAATAAAAAAATAGACAAAGAAAATGAAAATAAAAAGCACATACCTGGCCACTCCGAGATCACCACTCAATGTTTTGGGGACAAATTTTCCTGAAAACAAACACACACACCTATACACATATTCATATATATGGAATCATACTTGTATGTGTGTTCAGTTGCTCAGTTGTGACCAACTCTTTGTAACCCCATGGACTATAGCCCGCCAGGCCCCTCTGTCCATAGAATTTTCAAGGCAAGAAGTGGGTTTCCATTTCCTACTCCAGGGAATCTCCCTGACCCAGGGATTGAACCTATGTTCTTGCACTGGTAAGCAGATTCTTTAGCACTGTGCCATCTGGAAAGACCTTCATACTTGTGTACTGTTGTATAAACTGAACCTTTTTTTTTTACACAGCATAACATTAAAAATGTTTCTATATCAACAAATACATTTCTATAATTATATTTCTGCAACATAATTTTGATAGCTACATAGTATTCCATTGTATAGAATCCATATTCTGTATTGGAAATAATGTGCACTACCAAATCATTAGTATAAAATTGTTAGACTTTTCTAATGTTATTTTTGCTGTAATGAACAGCACTGTGATAATTGTAACTAAACTCCTTCAAGCATCCTTATCACACTCTTAGTTTCATTAGTATAATTTCTGAAAAATGGAATTGCTGGCTCAAAGTGCTTGTACAATGTTAAGATTTAAAATACATACTTCAAAAATTTGAGGCACATTTAAATATTTTTATTTCTCTACTTAGAGAAAATTGTATTGGTCTATTATTAAATCATCATACCAAAATTGTCCCTTCCTTTTTCTCTACTTAAGGTTACATTATGATGACAATGAGTTTAGTCCTCTGAAATTGTACTAGGTCTTATAGTTACTCAAACTTAAAATTCATTCATTTACCAGCTGTTTATTTTCTAGAATTTCTTCAATACTAAAATTTCAATGACTGGGTTTGCAACCCAATTTTTTGGTCTACTAATATAGGCAAACCTCTCTGGTAGTTTTATTCATTCTTTGATTAAATTGATCATATTGCAAAGAACCGTAATCTGTCACTATTTAAATTAAGTGAATTTAAATTAGAATATGCTAGGCCTTTTTGATGTGCAAATTTACATGTAAATTTGCAATTTACATGTGCAAAGTCATGTCCACATAGCAGTTAAATGCTCAGTCTTTTGATATTAGCACAGCATGAAAAGCAAGTTTTTATATTTTGGTAGCACACATTCACTTTTAAAATATGCATATATATGTGTACATGCATTCTAGAGGAATGTTTTATTGCTTGCAGATATGGAATAAATTATTTAACTACCAAGCCAAATATTTGTAAATGTGTTTTGCTGCTGCTTCTACTCTGTATAAAAAACCACTGGTTAGGCACTCCGTTTTCTGCTATCTCAGCCTTAGGAAACAAAAGTATAATTTAGCATTATGCTTGATGATTAACTCTGTTCAAAGGCACAGAAAATGCTGATGGTTAGACAAGAGACAGAGTATTTTAACTTTAAATTTTAGGTTAAGTTCACAGCATGCACTACTTTTTCACTCATGCAAAACTGAGAAATGTATGAAAGGTATAAAAATATGACCCTTTTAGGGACAACTACTATGACGTACATGAGTTTCTCTAAGTAAATATAATGCCTGTATACTAGATGCATTGAGACAATATGCTAATTCTATATATTTGGGAAGCATTGTGGACACGGGAATTGGCAAGTTATTTTTATAGGAAAGTCCGATTTTTAGACACACAACAAATTGGGCAGTGGTATGATGACTTTAATCATCTGCATGAAGCAATGAGATAATTATGGTTAATGACTCACTGCTGTACTTTCAACACCTTCAGGGATCAATTTCACCCAAAAGTGAACAGAGCCAGCACCACATGGTCTGCTATCAAGCGCTGACCTCCCTGATTCAAATGCAAAATGCTATTGCAGATGAGATTCACTGGGACAAAATGTTCAATAGAAA